GTATGGAAGACATAAAAATGTGTATGAATATAAACATTTAAATAATATACGCTGCAGCAAAATATGTTGTGTGATAACATGATGGTTGTGTGCTGCACTTTAATCAGGAAGGATACTGGGGGGGGGGAGAAATTGCAGTTTGTCATGTTGATCGAGCCTTACCAGCAATAAACTCTTCTAACTTCAGTACTGGAACTTCAATAAATTTTTTGGAAATATTATCACCTAACCATGTGGAGCAGAAGGAAACAATGTATTACATTTTAAAATCATAATGCTTAAAATCTTTGTTCTAGTAACTTCAAGGATTTATGTTTTCATCTAATACACAGTCTGATTCTGCAAATGACACTGTGAAATGACATCTTTGTGAGGAGCAAGATGCAGGGTCAGGCCAGTGAAAGGTTCATGTGTGTCCTTCAGACCATCTCAGTAGTACTGCTATATAATTGTTAAGTGAAAAGTGTGTGCTAGAGCTCGGTTCAGTTAGTGTTTGATCGTAGGGGACCGAGGAACAGACAGAGCTGTGATCTTGAAGGTGCTGAACTACTGGAGTGCATTTAAGCCATCCTTGCACAGGGCCATAAAGTATCAGCTGCCTCACCTTTGCATGGGTGGCACTGAGCGACAAGAAAAGATCAGTTTACATGTAGACAAACATGTAGGTAACAGAATACATTAGGAAAAGAGTGTTTCCCCTTGTACACATTGCCCTGTTGTATAAAGAGGTTGTTTTTGTAGAATCTAGAAAATTCTCCATAACGCATTGCAGGCTGGTTGTGAAAGCAACATGTAATCTGAGTATCTGCATTTGCTAAAGAACATCCTGCTTTTATAGGAACCATTGAAATCTCAGTGGGGGGAAAAATTTCTTCAGCTCTAAGGTCGATCTCTGTATCAGAAGTTACATCTTAGCACATGTAATTTCACAGTGGTTGACTATCAGGTTAAAAATAGTCTTGTTGACCACACACAGCATAACATTTTTTAAATTAAAATTTAGCTGTGCTGATAGCTACAGAACTGTTTGTTAAAGTCCGTTATAGACACCAACAGCTAGGTGGTGGACTTAAGATGTTAAGTAAATTGGTCCTATGGAAAAGAGCTACTCTTTTATAATTGTTAGGAGTAGTATTTCCCAAATACTAGCTAATGCAGTTGGAAAAGTGGTTGACAATTATTTTTAGCTTCATGAACATCTGTACATTTTCAGGGAAAAAGTGAAATAGTTTCGTCGTTGTCTTTTTTTTTTCTCCATATCACAAAGCACCGGCTTGTTGAATGGATGGCAGAATGGTTTCAGCTGGTATACTGTGCAATGAAGCCTGTCTTAATAAGCTTCTAGATTTTCTTGCACTGTCTGTAAGGACAATTAAATTGTTGGAGAGAAGAAAAGAGTATCTGTATTCTACAGATTTCCAAGCACAGTCAAATCATATGTTGCAGCAATCAAGTCCAATAGAGGTAGAACAAAAAAGAGAAACATGGAAATTGAATGCTAAGAAGAGACTTCGACAGTTGTGAATGCAATACTTCACTTTTATTGTACCATTTATATTTTTTAACACATGCATACCTTGCTGTGAATTAACAGCTCTAGTTGGATTTTTGGGGGGTTTCCTTTTCAAAGCATAAATGCCAAAGTATAGATTTCCAGTGTTCATATCAAAATTCACTGTCATGTGGCAGCTTGGTGCTAGGCTAGTACATTTTATTTGGAATTGTCTTTGGAGAGAAACACTGCATGTGAGACATTTGCGTATTCCCAAGACCACCAGGTGCACCTGTAGGGTGGGGGGGGAGGGAAAGAAGTTTTTGTTTTTTTAAGCATAACCACACGGATAATACTGTGATGTGATTCATAGAACATGCTGTGATGAGCTACTCTAGTTGTGGTGCTAAAACGACTTTCACTGCTGTTTGCCCCCTTTCATTGACTTTCCATCTGTGACTGATGGACACGGCGCATAGAATCGTTGAATGGTTTGGCTTGAAAGGGACTTTTCAAAGACCATCTAGTTCCAACCTCCCTGACAATGAGCAGGGACACCTTCCACTAAACCAAGCTGCTCAAAGCCCTGTCCAGCCTGGCCTTGAACCCTTCCAGGGAGGGGGCAGCCACAGCTGCTCTGGGCAACCTCTGCCAGTGTTTCACTACCCTCACAGTAAAGAATGTCTTCCTTATGTCCAATATAAACATACCCTCTTTCAGTTTAAAACTGTTACCCCTCATCCTATCACTACAGGCTCTGGTAAAAAGCCTCCATCAAATTCATAAGCCGCCTTTATATATTGAAAGGCTACAATATGGTCTCTCAGGAGCCTTGCCTTCTTCAGGCTGAATAACCCCAACTGTCTCAGCCTTCCTTCATAGGAGAGGTGTTCCATCCCTTCAGCCATTTTCATGGCCCTCCTCTGGATTTGCTCTAACAGGTCTATGTCTGTCTTATACTGGGGACCCCAGAGCTGGACAGAGTACTCCGTGTGGGATTTACTCTGTAAGTCTGTCAGGCTTGTTGGTGAAGACCCTCTTGTCCCACTTGGTCAGATGGCTCTCATCAGCTCCCAGCAGATGCAGCTTCTCAAAGGTAGATCTGTGATCACAGAAGCCAAAACATAAGTATTTACACTCCAGTACATTAACCATATTTGGCATATGACCTGGTATCACACTAACTGCTCTGAACTGCGTTTTATTTGTTTGTAATACAAATTATTTTTTTATTTATTTATTTTTGGTAGATAAAAAGAGTTTAGGAATTGAAGCAGTTGAAGTTCCATTGTAGTTGAGACAATTGTGAGCTAGGTCCCCTTGTGTGTAATCTGTACTCCTGGCATAGCTCAATTACCTCTGGTGTTTGTAGAATCCCATCTTTCTTTTTGTATCACTGAGATTGCTGACATGAGATTACTTGCATGGGGGAATGTCGCATTAGCAAGACATTCTCTTTTTCTGCTTAGTTGTGAATAGATACAGTAGCTTCTGTCTCACAGATTATCTGCTTGCCCATATATTGATTTGTGTCCTCTAATTAGAAGAAAAATGTTAACTGTTACTGGTTAAAAACAGACACAGATGAAACTGGGGTTTTTTCTATGGTGTGTTCACAGAATTGTGACTTCTTATTTGTTCAGGACATCACAATTGAACAAGTTGATTGCTTTCACAAATGTTAAGACTCCAGTGTGTGATTAATGGAGAATTTGTAGATACTTATTATTGTATGGCAAACATGTTCATAGCATTTCCTCTTCGTTAAAGTAAGGATGACAACTTTTAAAAGATCTTTAACTTTTTTTTTCCTTAGTCTGTAGTATTTTCTTGACAGCGTAATCTCTGGTGACCAAGGTGTAATTGAAAGTTGAAAAAGGTCAAGCAAATTTAATGTAAAGATTGTTGTATAATCAACCAACCTCATATCTCTTTGAGATATCTTTCTCATAGTAGAGTAGGTAAGGAGTTCACCAGGAAAATTAATACTGTATTCCTAGGATTTACTGCCTTGTTATTTTTTTTCTAGCAGGGAAGTATTTCCATAAAATGTTTGCTAGAAAAGTAGCATGTCCATGCTTGTTGTCCTTCAGAAAAATTCTGAGTCAGCAGGATGAGAACCAGATGGATGGGAGAACAGAAGCATAATGACGAGCAGAAAATAATAAAAAAGTGCAGATGTGCAGGGAGAGAGAGAACAGAGATTTTAAAAACTAAAACATAAACGAGAATATGATTCAAAATGCTTTATGGAGAGGACATACATATTTTGGGCTTAAAAAATATATATGGAAAAAAAAAAAGTTACTGTTCCTAAGATCAAGTGACCTCATTTTAGACTTGCTTTCTTTTTGTTCCCAAGAGGACATATGCCCAGACCTCTGTAGGAAATCTGGCTGCCAGCTGGCATAGCACCTTTCAAAGAGACCTAATTTTATATTTTCAGAACCTGGCAGTATCAGCCACCTCCATCTGCAATAGGCTGCTGTTTGCAGTATCTGTTAAGCTGCATTTTAAGATTTAATTTTAAGTTTCTTTGCCAACATATTAATAAGGGTCAGGCTATGGAGAGCTGTCAATAGGGCCAAAAATAGTTTTAATTTTGTGATGTCTCTGGCTTCATGCTTTCATTTTTCATGATTATATATCTATTGGTGGGCTCTAGGATACTAACTTGTATGATGAAATAATACCGTCTTCCCATATTTTAAGTCTGTATTAAGAGGAGGCTGGAATAAATCATGTACAGTAACGGTAGAAATCCTACAGTATTAAATTCAGTGTTAAAATTGGAGTATTATTTGGAGTGTTGGTTTAATTTTTCTGGGGTAGAAATCAGAAGGTATTGAGCACGTCATCATATTATATAACAATTTGTCCAGCTAAATAGAATTTAATGTGGGCAGTCAGGGGACAGATTCAGTTCTCTTGCTCTGGCTCTACCTACTGCAACAAAATTTTCAAGCTGTCTCTGGCTGGCTTAGGGAGGGTGCCAGGGGATCTCTCATAGTTGCAGGCAGAGCTGCTCTTGCAGAGTTCAGGTGATGACAGGCAGCCTATTTGTGTTAATTTAATATGAGGAAGAAAGCCACCTAAGATCCAGAAGAGGAAAAATGGCCACTGCCACGTGGCTGCCATGTTCAGCATGGGTCTGCTTCAGTTTGTGCTAACTGCAGCTCCAAGATTTCATTCATTTCAAACTCTTAAACCTTGGCAGAGTCAAATTGTTCTTGTAATCACTAGTAACAAATGTCTGATATTCATGTAAGTCTAACTGAGGAAAAAAATTGATTTGTTTTGGGTGTAACTCTAGAATACTTTGTAAAATTATTTGCATTAGAAGAGAAAATTCAAATATTTATGTACAATGGCAGTGAAATACTGCTCCCAAAGCTTAATTGAGACGGATTCTGTAGTGTATAGCTGTAATGTTGAAGTTTGTCATTTATATGAAATTTATTAGTGTTTCTTTGAATTCTTGTTAATATATTTTCTGGATTTCTTTCAGCTCTTCGTTGTAGTCTCCAGTTTCTTGGAAACATTGCAGCAGGAAATGGAGATTCCCAGAATAGCATTTGGAAGTGTGCTTTCCCAGATCTCTTCTTGTAAGCATGGATGCGGGTTTTTTTTCTAATGTAATTTCTGTGGTTATATTCAAATCTTTTATACATGATAGTTGTGCCTCTACTAGCACCATGAAGCTTTGAAAAATAACTTTGGTGAGAATGGGATGGTTGAGACCATATCCTGTAGATGTTTTTTTTGTTAGTCAACCGCAGGGGTCAGGACCTTTAAAAACCTGCTTGTTCTAAACTAACAGTAAATTGATTTTATTTAACAGAAACTGGAAAAAAACTCTGTTTCAAATTATGAGCTTCAAACATAAGGTTTATTTCAAAGGTGTTTTCAAGTAGTTATACTCATTTCCAAGAACACAGCTTTTTCTTTATTCACTTTGCTGCTATGCCGACCTGACAGTATTTGTGGATCAAATGGAATCTACAAAAGTGACTTAATCTTCATGTCTTCCAGTCCTTTTGCCCCTTTCATAACCTCACCAGAATATCTTCCTGGAGGCTTGATGACATGTGTAATGAAACATTACGTAAATGATTTTCTGCAGATACATAACAATATTGTTGATGTGTTTGGCCAAAGTTTCCGTAGTGAGCGAGTAACAAAGGCACATTCATTCAATTTGATGATCATTCTGAGTATGTTTTTGGAGCCCACTTATCAGCACTAGATGTAGAAAGACCTCATGATAATAGAAGCAGATAATTATTATAGTTTCACCCAATTTCTAGATCTCCAGTTAGTTCCAATTTAGCATTAGCTTTTTTAATTGCCTGTTAAGTTTGACCTTCGGCTAGGAGTTAGATATTTTTCTTTGGAGATGACTTCCGTCTGTCTTCGGCAATGACAAACTCACGATTCTCTAAAAGACAGCAAGGAACAACAACTCAACAAGCTGAATGCCACTAGTCTGTTTTTCCAGGGTCAGTTTTAACTTACTTTCTTATTTTCTCTTGAAGGAGATGCCTAATGTACAGTGATGAGAAAATTGTCGCCTATTGTTGTATGGTCCTGTTCACCTGCCTTAATTCAGAGAAAGTAAGAGAACTACTTGATCCTGTGAACTTGACTGTGGCTCTTCATGTCGTGAAAGTCTACAAAGAGCAGTTGGAGTCTGAATGGTCGTATGTATCTTTCGATAATTTTTTTTTTCCCTTTTTAATTAGGTGATTATCTAGTGTAAATCTCTGTATTAAAATGTCTAAATTTGTGACACTAATAAGTAGTAAGTGAAGATCTATTTAGAAGTTAGAATAATAGAATAATTTTCATGATACTTGCACTGACTGTTTTGATTGCTGCTGAATAAGACTACGTTTTTGTTGAAGTACAGGAATTTTAAAATCATGATCTGTTTTTGTTGTTGTTTAATGAAACAGGGTTCTAGAATGCAAACTAATTTATACTTGTGTGCTGATTTGTGGAGATTTTTGAAATAAAGCAGAATATAATCTTACAGACTTCTTGTCTGTAAAAGTTTCTTCCTTTATTTTTGTGGGTGGGTTGTTTTTTTTTTTTTTTTAGTTTTGCTAAAACTGTTGTCTAGTGCAACATGCAGTCATTTTTATACCAAAACAGAAAAGACATTTGTGAATCTTGCACATTTCATTTTCATACTTTAAGAGCATCTAGTCAGTGGTTTTATTCCATTGAGCTAATTGTTGTCAATTATGCATCTGAGAAATGTTCTGCCCTTCATCAGCAAGGTTGCACATTAAGTTAATTGTCATATGTTTTCCAAGGGGAAAAAAAAGGATTGTTTTTATGTTTTTGTAGCCTTCTTTTGAAGATCCTGTTTAAATTCAGAATTTAATTAGAAAGTAAAACCGTGACAATTCTAGTTATTTGGAAAGTCTCTAAACAGAATTAAGATGATTGAATGAAAAACAAATGTCATTTAATAGTTTGCTTTTGTCTTGAAAAAATTAATTTAACGTTTGTTTGTGACTGGGCTTTTTTCCTAACCAGGTCAATTTGCTTAGACATAAATAGTTTTCAGAAAGCAAACTTAAAATTTCAGGGTCAGGTGACCAGACTTCGGTTTCAAAAGTGAACAAACTGAGTATTTAGTTTTGTCATCTGTCAAGATAAACGCACATGTAAGATTGCTTTTCAGATCATTATCTTGATTATCCTTTATTTTCTTTACATATTGAAGGTATGCTGAAATGTATTTTGACTTGAGATATGAAAGCCAGGGAGAGCTGGAAGAGGTTGTCATGGTATTAAATTTATATTTTTAAGGTAATTGCAGAATAAATGCAGCATCAAAATAAATGCTGAGGTATCTGTTTCTCTGATCTTTCTATTCTGAAATGCATTCTGTTGATGTCATGATGAAGATGTTTTACTTTCACTGTGGATGTTTGTGGGGGTGGGAAATGGTCTCTCTTCAGAGTAGTCTTGAAATTGAAAAGGGACAAACTTCTATATGAGATATAAGACCATGATGAAATAAAGGAGATGAGTAGAAAAGAGTAATCCTAGTCTTGCCATAAAGCAGTTGCAGAATGTTTGCCCTCTAATTCCTGTCAGAACACTTGAGTCCGTCATAGAAGAAAGATACATAAAGGCATTGGAATATCTTCCAGGCATTAAGAAAATAATACATTTTATTTTCTCTCATAGCACTTTAACGTTGGCCAATTAAATCTCAAAGCTCATTATCAACTATCAAAAATAATGAGTTTGTAGTATAAGTTTCTTGGCATTTTATACAGTCGTCTTGAACCAAATTATAAATGGAAACCGTTCAATAATGTTGGCACTGTTGTTAAGTCAACACAGGTAAAGTGCATTCGTAAGTGCAAAATCTAAACCAAAAAGCATATTGCAGCAGTGCAGTATGGAGCATTGAATGGGTACTCAAACAGCATTACTTTGAAAGTGAAAAAGATAGTTCCCTGGTAGAAAACAGCTGATTTTTCTATCTCTTTGTAGCTGTAGAGCCTTTCTGTGATTCATCTTGTACCTATTTCCCCCTATTTCTTGATCCTTATTTCATTCATTCTTTTAATACTCCATTTCTTAGATTTCCCATCTCAAGAAACACATTACTCTCTGGTTCTCCCTTGTGATCATCTGTTCTGATTGTGAGATAATATTTGTCATGGCTGAGGGGTAATTTCAGTGACAAGTATGTTCTTTGTTTCTTCTTAGATTTTTTTTTTTTTTAAGTGATTTCCATCCTGAAAGAAACCAAGATATTTATGTATTAGAATACATGCAGTATCTTTGGTCTACTTGGTGCAGAGTGGAGGGTAGGAAAGTAACATTTTCACATACGTTTTTATTAAAAAAAAAAAAAAAAAGAAGAAAAGGCTTGGTGTAAGAGGATTTTTTTTAGTTGTTGTTTGTTTATTTGTTTTTTTTTTTTTTCATATTTCAATGGAAATCTGCTAGCGTCTACCATTCCTTACCCAACACTGATTTAAACAAAGTTATCTTTTTTCTGATTTTAGTTATGATTTTTCTGTGTTGTGTTTTTTTTTTTTTTTTCTCTCCCATCTTCCAGTTAGCCATAGGTCAATGTGTTACATTAATGTAATGTTTTTATCTTAGAGCATACACACATCGTGTTTGCCTGTACTGCATGCTATATTTCTGTGTATTTGAAGGTTTGTTAGAGCCTATAAAGTTAGTAGTCTTGTTAGAAGTAGAACAATCATTGCAAAATCCTGCAATATCTTTTTTTTTTTTTTTGCAAATTATCAAGAGGTTTTTTCTTGTTACCTTGTCAGTATTAACACATTTATTTCATAGGCAACAAGTTATTCTTAGTGTAGCTTTAATTACAGAGGATATTCACAGATACTCAGTCCTGTGAATAACTGACTACATTTTCATAAGGTACCTGCAGCTTGTATCTTGGATTCATCTTTGCTTTTTCTACCATTTTTCCAGTTGTACAGTACATACTCTAAGAGTACTTAAGAGTATTACACCTGATGTCACACAGCTAAACCTCCCAGTCCAAACGGTTTTCTCTTTTTTCCTAAAATATTACAACTGGTGTGTTTTGAGGGTAGTGTTGAATTGAGTCTGAAAGCCGATTTCTTTTATTAGCACTAATCCTTCTACTGTGAGATAAATGTGGATGGATACAATTGTGTAATGTAATGAAGATGCCTTCTGTTGCTTGCTTGTTTGTGTTCTTTCTTCCTATGGCTGAGCAGCAGGAAGCAAGCTGGCCAACTCTGCTTTCTTGCGCCTTGCCTATTCGAGCAGTGTTCTTTGCCAGTTCTCTGAATTTAGGGGAAAGCTCTACTGATGACAGCCATGTTGCATCTCTTTTCTGTAGGAAACTTGTGAATTTTTCACTGTTCTCCCTTTACTACCGTAAAGTGCTGATCTGCTCCTGTGATAAGACAGACCAGGCAGTGTCCAGAGATGGCTTCATAACACATGCTTTACTGTGAACAGAAAAGCTGAACAGTAAACAGGATTTCTTATTTTGGTAGAAGTAATGTTATTTACTTTGGCTGATGATAACTGAAGATTCTTGATTTGAATATAAGAACATTTTTTTTTTTTTGACAACAATAGGAGAAAACCTAAGCTTTGTCCTTGGGTCAGTGTTGGTCCTGACATGTAGTAATGCTGTCTCTTTAGGACAGCTCTTGAAATTGTGTAGGTTTGCAGGTGCCTTATGCTGATAATTTCTATTCTTTCATTAGAGCCTTCTATTTCTAAAACATTTTTGGATATTGAATGAATTGTAGTTTTCTGCAATTAGGTGTGTGAGAGAGAATAATTTCTGCTTTGAGGATATGTTTAGAGTAAGTTCGGACCCTGGTGTACTGCTACTCTTGCTTTGGTGTTCATTTTTGTCATTGCATATAATCTTCCTGGTTTGAACTAATTGTTGGTTCATTACTGAAGCACTTTTTTTTTTATCTCAGCGAAGAACTATATTACTTTCTGATATGGAAGAGTATGCATGAAATATATTCAGGTAAGAGTGCATAAAAAGATTTCTGTCCCTTATGAAGTTGAAGCTAAGCTTTGGATGCCTCTCTGACTGGACTGTAGAAAAAATATTTTTTCAGCAATTCATTGAAAATTTGGAGCTGTACTTCAACTCTCGCTCTTGCTGAAGTACATACCACTAGGATTGCTTAAACGAATTTACATAGCCGCGGTATTTGCAACAGAGCCAGTACTCTGTTTTAAAGATTTGAGTCCCTTGCGCCACATCTAACAAAGTGCACAGCAACCATTTTTAAGCAGCTGTTACAGCATTACATGGCTGAGCCAAAATACAAACTATTCTTCCAGGAGGTTATGCTTGCTGCTGGACTCACAAATGACTGAAATTAAGATGTTCTTACTTTCAAAGTTAAAAATACTACTTAATTTCTGCCTACCTTTTTGTGTCTTAGCTGGAGCATCCGGTTTCATATTACACTGAATAAAAATTGAATGCCACGTGTGTTTATTCCTCTTGGCTGGGCTTTCTTGCTGTCAAATCCTGCTTTTAGGTATTGAAAATATTTCTTTGAATAGCCAGGCAAGTTTTAGTTATAGGCAAAACTTTTATTCACTATTTTATTCCCTTTTATTGTGCACTGAAATTTATGACTTAATGTTCCTCTAAGTTAGTATCCAATGAATTCCACAAATAAACACTTAGGATGCTCAAGTTATTTTTGCAGTTGCTGCCATGAACCATCAGGACAGAGAGAGGACATCCAGGACAAATATTTGGATTTAAGGCCATTGGCTGAACTGTAGTCTCTCCCATGGGGTCCTCACTACTCCAGTTGGCTAGCACATGTTGGGTTTCTACTCTGCACCCATCACAGGAGGGCAAGCACATCTTTAAAACCTTTTTTTGGTGAATTGGCCATTCTTCCTCTGTTCAGGATCCCACATTCATGTTTAGAGTCCAGTTTTCCATCTCCAAGCTGGAAAAGTCCTTAGGGAAAGTTCAGGAGTAACCTCTTTCCAAGTGTGGTGCCTTCGGCTTCTCCCTCCAGTCTCACAGCAGGTCTGCAGGGAGGTTTTGTCAGAGGAAATCAGATTATTCTGAGCAGTTCCTCAGAGCTCCTTTTTTGTAACCAGCTGTTGGTAGCGGACCTTTCACTGTTGCTCTTCTGTCTGCCATAAACCCTTCTCCCAGTTA